AAAAAATAAATTATTGCTCTTGGGTGTACCTATGGGTGATTCTGTTGATGTTTGACAGAAAACAACATTCTGTAAAGCAATCATCCTTCAATTAACAAAATAAATTAAGAAAAATATTAATAATAAAAATTAATTGCTAAAAAATACTAACCATCATTGGAGACTTAGCAAGTAACACCAAGATCACCAATCACAGATCACCATAACAAATGTAATGATAGTGAAAACCTTTGACATATTGTGAGAATTACCAAAAGATGACACAGACATGGAGTGAGCAAATGCTGTTGGAAAAATGGTACCTGGAGACTTTCTCAACCTGCTTGACAAACTGTTAATTTGTAAAGACAAAAAAAAAAGCACTATCTGGGAACTTCCATAAAACAAGGTATGCCTGTATTTCTAAAGCAAGCAATAAAGAAACTGATTCAAAAATCAAAGATTTGAAAAAGAACATTATTTGTTATTTGTGATGACTTGCTGAATTGGAAACCAACCAGTAATCAGCTCTAGAACAAAATATAAGGTTTACACTTGGGGTGGATGGAGCACAGACAATCCCTAACTCTGAAGCTGGGGGATGCATGTCTCTTAGTCCCCTAAGGTCTAATCCTGCTGTTCCTATAAGAGGAGTCAGCAACCACAACCAGCTCGAACCAAGATGTAAACAAGTGGCTGAGTCTACATCTTCTGGTGGGACCTCCCTCTGACATCACTGATGATCTCAATCAGGGAGCCTGAAACTGAAGGTCTCCCAAGACAGAAGTGGGAAGGGTCCCTCTTCAGTGAAAGACAAGGTCATCAAGCAAAACAAGTCTAGTCATTGTGACTGGCTTCAAAGAAAACCCTTCCATTTCCCTTCTCCCTCTATCTTCCCCATTCACCCAGATGCTCAGTCTCCACACCCAGACACCAGCATCATTGACTCCTCTCTCCCCCCCTCAGATCCCACGTTGAATCCATCGCTTGGCCCCACTTTCTCATCTCCCCCAAATCCAACCGTCTCACCACTTCTACTACAGGCACCTTAGTCTCAGCCAAGAGAGGGCAAAACTGCAAGAGAGAGGGAACACTGCATTTGGAGAATTGAAGACCATCAGTGTGGCTTTGGCTGTGAAGGAAGGAGGGAAAAGAGCAGGGGAAAAAACTAGAAAGGTGGGGAGGGACCAGGCTGTAAATTTCTTTGTTGAACCACGTTAAAGATTTGTTCAAAGACACTGACCAATTGAGAAAAATTTGAGGTTACAGAAATTTACCAGGAGATACGCTTCCCTGGTGGCTCTGATGGTAAAGAATCTGCCTGCAATGTGGGACACCTGGTTCAGTCTCTGGGTTGTGAAGATCCCGTGGAGAAGGGAATGGAAACCTACTCTAGTATTCTAGTTTTCTTGCCTGGAAAATCTCATGGACAAAGGAGCCTGGCGAGCGACAGTTCATAGGGTTGCAAAGAGTCAGACACAACTGAGCAAGTAACATGCACGAGTAAGTAAAGCATTAAATAAATCAAACACACTTTGATAACAGCAACAAAGCTGATTGGTTAGGGGGATACAGGCGTTCACATCTGTGAATCAGGTGTTGAGGGATAAGACTGAGAACTAACCAGCAGAGAGGTTTTCCAAATTCTGTCCTTCCTCACTGTTTCTCTAACCAATCACACATTTCAAGGTGACAGTATTTCTAAGAATTAGATAATAAAAATAATCTGCTACTATTAATGCTGGAATGCCAAAAACCAAAAATAAAACCTCAGGGTACATTTAGGAACAAATAACTTATTTGAACAGACTCCTAATTGAGCTGGAGATCAAGCCATCTTTCTGCAGCTGCCTCTAAGGCCTGAGAAAGGGCTTGAAACAGGTAAATTTTATAGCATCACTTATTTATTATGGAAGAAGGATGCTTTGGGAGACAGCCTTCAAAATATACAGTGATAAGAGGTAAGAACAACAAAGCAACAAGGAAAAAGTAGAAATGAAAGGCTACTTTTCCAATTAGCATTCAATAACACAAAATGAGGGTCTAAGAATACCAGGTGCTAAAACATTTCTGGAATTTGAGTTACTGTCCTGTAGTCTTGGAATTTACCCCAGTCCCTCATCAAAGTTTGCAGGTGGAGTCGGCTTCCTACTGAGCTGCTCTAGACCAGCCAGACAACTGGCTACACTACTTGAGCCTAGAGCATCCCTTCGGTTGGGGATGCCCCACTCCTATTGTCAGACTCCTTGGAGCTCACTTCTCTGTATGTCCAGCTCGGCGAGTGAGGCTACAGGCACTGCTTCAATGCTGAGGGCCTGATATCTACTCAATGTCCCCATGGATGATCCATCTGACAATGCATGTGAAGTGTGGGGGGAGGGGGGTGATATTCCAGAAACTGTCCAAGAAGTCAAAAGAGACAGTTCCATTATAAGACAAGGAAGTTTGGATGTTACTGCCTGTTTATTATTATTATCTATTTTGTGTGGACCATCAAAATACCTAAATATATTTTGCATTCTTTTGGGACTGACTTCCCTTGTAGCTCAGACAGTAAAGAATCTGTCTGCAATGCAGGAGACCTGGGTTCAATCCCTGAATTAGGAAGATTCCCTGGAGAAGGGAATGGCTACCCACTCCAGGATTCTTGCTTGGAGAATCCCATGGACAGAGGAGCTATAGTCCATGGGTTTGCAAAAAGTCGAACATGACTGAGTGACAAACCCACTTTTGGGATTATATGCAGCCAGAGGTTTTCCTTTGAGCCATGTGTTCTATATCATTTTATAAAGCCACAGTCTAACATTTACTGAAACTCAGCAAACAGCAGAGGGAAATAACAAAGAAAGAAGATGAAAAGAGATAAGGGATAGAGGGAGGAAAGAAAAGAAGATAAGGAGGGAAATAATAAATTACTGAGAGGAAAGAGCCAATCAAATCCAGAGGGAAAATACTAGACAGATACCAGAGCCAAAGCTTGGAGCCTACCACTTGTGCAGTGCCCGGATCTACTGTGTAAAAAACTTATTGGTTGTTTATCTAGTCTCTCAGCCTTGATTTGCCCTCCTTTTTAAACTGTCACCTGTGACACACAGGTTCAATCTCTACAAGTCACATTTCAGAGGCTCTTTGGCAAGCTGGTGTTTTCTTAGGTTCTGCCATTAAGTGGGCACTAGAGGGAGACTGAAAGTGGGACCGAGCTAATGTTCTATTTGATTTGGCTGTACGGAGAAGGCAATGGCACCCCACTCCAGTTCTCTTGCCTGGAAAATCCCATGGATGGAGGAGCCTGGCAGGCTGCAGTCCATGGGGTCGCGAAGAGTCAGACATGACTGAGCGACTTCACTTTCACTTTTCACTTTTATGCATTGGAGAAGGAAATGGCAATCCACTCCAGTGTTCTTGCCTGGAGAATCCCAGGGATGGGGTCGCACAGAGTCGGACACGACTGAAGTGACTTAGCAGCAGTCACCTCAGCAGGGGGACATGACTCCAGCTCCGAACTTCTATTAGCACATGTGATCAGGTTGTCATGGAGCTGACTGGCGATGAAGGTAACGAAAATCATGATTTTGCTCACAGCAAAAAATGATGTCAAATTCATGCCCCTAAGGTAGGAACTTCTCAGAATCTTGGAAATTTCCTTCCTGTAAAAGCGAGTAGGACATAGGTTTTATAAGAAGCACCAACATACAAGACACGGATTCAGTGCCACATGTGAGGGGCCCCTTTCTAGGGAATGGACACAGATTAAGATAAACCATCTCTCACCTCATGGAGACACTACACAGTGCACACTCGGGGGTCCCCGACACCAGGATCACACACTGCATCACTACTTCAATCTTTCAAGTGAAAGGAGGCTTAATGTCACACTTTCAAACATTCTGTGTCAGTCAGACTGGGTTTGAACATTCATTCAACAAACATTCATAATCACAAGTCCTGGGCCAGGCTCCCCACAGAAAGACACAGCCTGTACCCTCCAGGGGCTCATGAACGTGTTGGAGAAGAGAATTACCAACCACAAAACTGGGAGACAATAGACAGAGACGGTCAGCACAGCCCCCAAGGGAGCCCAGAGCAGAGGTGTGCAACTCAGAGCAGTGGAGTCAGGGCAAGTCACACACACGTGGACCCTGAGAAGATGAACTGGAGTCAGTCAGGCTTGGCGGAGGCCAGAGTAGAAGGAAGAAGGGAGTGCATTCCCAGCAGAGGGAGTGGCCCCACAAAAGTGCAAAGTCAGAGGTTACAAGGTGGGGTCAGAAAAATGCTCATCAGATATTTAAATGAAAGATAGAGAAACATCCTACAAACATGAAGCAAAACAAAAGGAACAGTATTTTCATAGCTCCATTTGAAATTAATAATAGTGATTCATGAGCTTTCCTGGTGGTAAAGAATCTGCCTACAATGCAGGAAACATGAGTTCAATCCCTGGGTCACGCAGATGCCCTGGAGGAGGAAATGGCAACTCACTCTAGTATTTCTGCCTGAGAAATTCCATGGACAGAGGAGCCTGGTGGGATACAGTACATGGGGTCACAAAGAGTTGGGCACGAACAAACAACTAAGTGTGACAATGACGAAGAACAGTGATTCATATAGTTCGGCTTGATGCAAGTACACCCAGTCTCTATAATCTCCCTGTTTGTACTCCATCAACATAAATTACAATTTTAGTTTGAATGTCATTGTCTCAAATGCTAAATATCTTAAAAGCATTGCTCATTAGGATTTGAGGTATTAAGAACTACTTAGAATTTCATTTCTATACAAGTAAGAAGCATGTATATTTTTTCCTTTGAGAAGATGGTAAATGGAAGAGTAGGTTAAACGATGTCTCCACTATTCTACTGAACCCTCCTGCAACATGTGGGGGATGCAGTGAATAGTAAGTTTTTAAGCTCACCTTAATATATATATATCACACAATTACCTTCTCAATCCGGTAATACGATCTATAAATGACTTTTCCCAAACATTCATTTTTATTGTTCTGACACCAGTTATTACTTCACTCATGGTCCTGATCCTGTCATCTGTGAGAGCTGAGGTCTTACTCCTAAGGAGAAAAACATAAAAATTGAGCCTCAGTGACCACAGCTCAACTTTCCTTAGCAGCAGCAGCAGGAGTGGACATGGGGATATAGCTAGGAATCAAAAGATTCTCTACAGCAGCTTTTGCACTTAGAACACAGGCAGGTCCTACTCAAAGTACAAACAGAGAAAAAGGTTTCAATTAAGAAGTCAAACGTTCAGCCCATTTCAAGAAGTAACTTGGAGAACGTGCAGCATCGGCTAGGAATAAAACCTACATATTATCAATTTTTAAAACCAGTGTTTCTCTTACCGGAGTGATGAAAACAACATCCCAAAGCAGCTTTGAAAAGCAGAAGAATAATGAGAACTGCCATCCCAGCAAGACACGACATTCCTATTTCCATCCAAAGCAGGGCGGTCACTGCAATAACCTGCAGTGGCCCCACCCACAGATAGTGCAAGAACATCATTACCTTAAAAGAGAGAGACAAAGCTTTCTTAGGACTGCATACAATAAAACCAGTGAGGACACAGTGTAGAAACAATCTGCTCTGAAGAAACAGACAGGAACCTAAACAGCAATGATCACACTGGGTTTTAAACCTACTGAAGCAGAAATCCAAGTGTCCACCCCAGATGATGCCGTTCAGGGGCAGCACAGGGCTGGCTTCAGGGATGTCCCAGGAGAATCAGACCAGCAGCACTGAAGGAAGATGTGGATTTTGTCCACAATACAGATGAGCTCAGGGCTTCCCCAAATGCTCTCTGTCCTATAATTTAGACCCCATCTCCTCTGGGGAACATGGCATCCCAGGAAAACCTACATTATGGTACCCACCACTTTCTCCAGTAATTACTCGTATATTTAGCTCCCTGATAGGCTGTGGCTTCTATAGGGTAAAAACTAAGCTTTGCTCATCCCTGAAAGTGAGCAGGGGCCTCACTTCATGCTTGATGAATGAATACTTGGAAGAGAAGTATCTAGTGCAACACAGATCTGACCAACAGCTACAATGCCCTGGGTAATGTGATCTATGCAAAAGGTCAGTGGAAAAAAGACTGTGGAGGGGATGGTAGAGAGGAGATTGTGTCTTCCTGGGGACCACACACTTGGCATTATTCTTCACAGGCTCCCTATGCAGAAGGCACTGAACAGGGTGCAGGGGAAAGAACAATCCCTCCCACCAGGCCTTCATCATCCAGAGGAGGAGGAAGACAGTCTAGCAACACCTACACCACGTGCCAAGAAGGGCCGCTCCAGGAGGACCCCTAGGGACCCTAACCAAGCTGGGCAAGAACACTGCTGCCTATTTATCATTAGAAAAACAAAACCTGCATTTACAGAACAACACATATAATTACATCTAAGTTGCACACAGAGAAATGAAAGTTGGATAAATTCAACCTTTGTCTTACATCCTCAATGGAATCCTGGCCCACACCAAACCCTGGCACCTGGCATCCCAATGAGCTGAACCCGGTGAGAAGGACGGGACATGGAAGAGGATCCCTCAGGGGCAGCTCACCTGGTCAAACCTGCTCACATCGTTGGACAGCAGGTTGACTATCTGGCCTGTGGTGGTCTTCCCCATGGCCGAGCTGCTCAGGCGAAGGGCCTGAAATGAGAGAGGGAGACAGAGATCCGGATTCCTAAGGTGATACCAACTCATCTTAGAACATAACACAATGGAGCATGTGTTCCGGGGTCCCGCTGTCAGCAGGAGCAGGATGACCCCTGATAGCGGGGCTCTAGGGACCCCTGTTCACCCTCTAACTCCTCAGTGTGGCGGCAGCCCGGCCCGCAAGGACGGCAAAGGGAGGAGCAGAGACAGAAGCAAAATCCCCGCCCAGTTTCAGTGAACTTGGACCTGCCTGAAGGGTAAAGGGTGTAGATTAACACTTAAGAGAAAACTAAGTAATTTTGAGCCAAATTAGATGAGAGCAGAGAGGCTGATTTAAGGAAGGAAATTTGGAGACTTGGACTATAGATCTGGACTCAATCATTAATTCTGTGGGTGACAATATTTAAACACCTCAGGCTTAGTTTGTTCATTCTGAAATGAGCAAGTATAATGTTCAAAACACTGTTTCTGTGAGGAAACTGTGTTCTTAATGCCAGACTGCTGACTTACAAAAACCACAACCCATGTAGCACAATCCCTTTATTTAGAAAGAAAAATGCCCTAGAGATCTGAGCAAACTGAGGAGACACCAGGAGCTGCTTCAATAGACCACCAACTGGAGCCACTGATCCAGACACAATGTCATACTTTATAAAAATGTTTCATTTACTCCTCAAGTTAAAGAAGAAAACCAATGATCAAGTGAGAATGTCTAATGATATAACCACAATGGAAGAGAATATGGAAGCTCCTCAAAAATTAAACATGAAATTATCATACAATACAGAAATTATACTACTAAGGATATACTCAAGAAAAACTAAAAACGCAAACTTGAACAGACAATTTACACTCATATTCAGAGCAGCTATATTCACAATAGCTAAAAGGTGGAAACAACTGTTCATTGACAGATGAGAGAATACACAGAATGTTGTATATACCTATAATGTAATATCATCCTGTCTTAAAAAGGAATTAAATTCTGACACCTGCTACAACATGGATGAACCTTGCAGATATTGTGCTACAGGACATAAGCCACACACACACAAAATGACAAACACTGTATGATTCCACTTAACAGAGGTACCTAAAATAGTCAAATTCACAGAAAGAAGAAGAACGGTGCTGGGAAAGGGGATAGGGGTTGGGGAGTTAGTGTTTAATGGGTGCAGAGGTTCAGTTTGGGAAAAACAAAGTTTCAGAGATGAAATATGGTGATGGCCACAAACAATGTGAATGTACCTAATGTCACTAAATGCTGCATTGAAAAGGAGTGAAAATGGGACACTATGCAGTGTATATTTCCCCACAATTAAAAAAAAAAGATCAATGATCAAAAGCCAAAAGTAACTTTACCAAATTTGTGGCAATATATTAATAAATAAATGACAAGTCATTTTTATTTATGATACCTCCCACAGGATCATTCAAAATTCAGCTGAAAAGAGAATGAAAATGCTGAATGGGCCATGTTAGGAGTGGCAGATGTGCAGCCTTAGAGATCTCCTGGAGACCTGACCCAGCATGGAATCCATGGTGTAGACAAACTACAGCTACGAGCTTAGCAGCCACTCCATTTCTAACACTCGACCTGGTTTCCTCCCAGGACCAAGGATCAGGAGGTGCGGCCCAAGATGAACCACAAATGTTCAGAGGGGCCTTTCAGAGCTGCTCTGTAGCACCAGCTTTTGCACCCTAAGCAATCAGTCCACCTGTAACTTGAAAAGAAGTGTCTTGTTTCTGCAACAGCAGGACTCTAGATGCAAGGCTGTGCACAAGGAAATTTGTCTTTCCCATGTTTCTGGAATTTCAGATTATGTCAATGGTGTAATCCCCACAATTTCTGACTTCACATAGGAACCATTTTTGGGTATAATTAAGCCAGCAAATGAACATCTCGGAAGATGGTTACATTCACGTAAGCCAACGTGCCAAGTCAGATCACATTTCCAAAAGGCAAGATTTCAAAGTGTTGGAGGGAAGAGGAAGAAAAACAGGTGGACAATGGCTCACCTGTGCAGCAAAGAGTGAGCTTTGACTAAACTATCACCTCACACCTAACTTAAAGTTTTCACAAAGCAGTCCTGGTAAAATTTCATAATTATTATGAGAGTTACAGAGAAGGAAATGGCAGCCCACTCCAGCATTCTTTCCTGGAGAAACCCATGGGCAGAGGAGCCTGGCAGGCTACGGTCCGTGGGGTCACAATGTGTCGGACACAACTGAATGACTATCACTCACATGAGAGTTAAGAATGATCTGAAAAGACAAACATTTAGCCAATTGGTGGGGAAATATGAGTATGCATCTCCTAAATGGTTAAAGATGCAACAGAATAACAAAGATGATGATAAATAGCAATGAAGACCCTGACTGGAATGTGTGGGCACTGCTGGGATTTCCACATCACCCAGAAGGAAACCAACTCAGATGCTGCTGCCAAACAAGACAGTGAGATGCCAGGTCTCCAGGTTCACACAGTCCCGAAATGTATACAACTCTGCTCAAGGAAAGATGAGATGACATCTCACTTTCTGCTGCACAGAAATATTCTGAAGAAATGGAAGTTCTAGATAAGTAACAACCAGGTAAAAGAAGCAATATTTCCAATTTAAGCTGTTTGGTTTTATCTTTCAATGAGGGCTATGTTTATTAATAAAAATTGTATATGTTTAAGGTTACCACATGATGTTTTTATATAAATACACATTGGGAAATGATTACTATAGTAAAACCACTTAAAGTATCCACTACCTAACATAGTTATCCTATTTTACATGTGTGGTGAGAACATTTAAGATCTACTCTCTTGGAAAATTTCAAGGCTACAATACAGTCAAATAAGGATTTTTTTTTTAAAGCAAACAGTCTGAAGCAAAGAGGTATCCAAGATCAAATTTAAACAGAACCCTTCAGTTCTTGACACTTATATATCTGTGGCAATACCTTTGTAAAGATACCTGAAATCTTTATTCCTTCTGTACTAGTTTAGACCAGGGTAAACTGTGAAATAATTACATGGCATTCCTCAATACAAAATTGCTGAACACAATAAATCAGTTCTAATTAAAAGTGCTATGATGCATACTAAAGATAAAAGGAAATATTGTACTAAAGGAGCTTAAATGAAGAGCAACAAATTCTCTCTAGAATGAATGAAACAGTGTAAAATTTCAAGTTTTATCTCAAAAACCCTACTATTTTCTTAAATATCATTAACAACAATCACATCCATAGAATATAGTGAGTGAGTCTATATTTGGCATGAATTCTCTTTATATCTTCTCTAATTAATATAACTATACTGAATATAATTAGATGGGTCTTTTAAAATTATAATCATTCCCTTTCTCAAACACATTCTCAGCTTCTAGATATAGTTTTATGGATCCAATCTCCTACGTTCTCTTTTAAATAAACATCTGATGTAAATTAAGGTTTTAATGAATAACAACAAAAAATTTCTATAAACAGCACTATGGGATTTAGGCATGAAAATACTGAAAAACAGCTTGATAAGTTTGATGCTTATTTTTAAATATTAATTTAATATTTTAAAAATATAATTTAATATTAATTTAATACTACAAATTTAGTGGGTATTATGCAACAGCCTATGGCTAAAAGTTATCAAGGGCAGCCCTCACATGATCTCAAAAGAAAATTGTTCATCATTTATTGGTAAAGTTTGTTTCAACAACAACAAACTTGGCTTGATGCAAATAGCAAGCTTCTTTAGAAAGGTGTAAACAATCCCAGTTATGTAATTTTTAGTTTACAGAGAACTTTCCCTAAATGTCCCTGAGGATTCAGGGGAGGTTACACTGTGGTACCAAGTGACACTTACCTTGCGGTAGATCATATGGCAGATGGCTACTCTCAGCCTCATCCCCACGCGCTGAATGTGATAGAAGTACAAGTGGTGCAGAACGGCCTACACGAGCACGCAGGCGCTCAGCCCTGCCGCGTAGCCGTAGGCTTCATGCAAAGCGGCAGAATCAGTGGGATCGTAGTTTTCAACATAACTAATCATTTTCCCCGAAAATATAGGTTGAACTACTCTGGTGCCTTCCTAAAAGAAAAGAAAAAAGTCTTAAATAGAAATGTCAGTTGTTCTTAATACAAGATTTACTTTTAGCATTAGCATGTTAAAAATACATTTTGACAAAATGCTACATTCATGGCTAATTTAAAAGAAAAACATGCAGATCCACTATCTCCTATAAGACAAGCAGGCAACAGTTTTAACCTTATGGCAAAATTTTACATTCAAAGATAGTAAGTAAAGCCTTAGTACCTGATGCCTAATACACTGTGGATACTCAGTATAAATATCACAACCAGTGCTTGAGAAGTCATTTGGCACAATACACATGAGCCTTAAAATGAATATGGAAAAAGGTGGCAGAAGAAGAGGAAGAAATCTGCTTCTGTATGAATTAACCTGCTGGCACCCTACCCCTGTCCCCTGGACAATGTCCAGCCCAACAGAAAGTCAACCTGGTTCACATATGGGAGACACGCTTTCATCACCTTCTTCATGAATCTTTATGAACTGAGACCCTGGAACAAACACCTACTCTTTTCCATCCCAAACTCCACATGTCTGTAGATCAAGAGAAAGGAAACCAGCTTCAGTTAGAGTACCACAAAGAAATCAGTCTTGGCAGCTCTGCAGGCTCTCAGCTCCTGAGTGCACTGCCTCACTATGTGTCTACCCTCTAGAAGCTGGAATGTTCCGTGGAGTGAAAAATCAAACATGGTGGAGGCCAAGCTAAAAAAACATGTCTTCCGTGGTTCTCCATCCACCATCCACCGCACTTGGTAGTTTGGAAGAAATGTTCTAAATCATCTCTTCCCCAAGGCTAAACCAATTGACACAAGGTACACTGAGGCTTCCACCCTGAGTAAGACTTAGGGAAAGCAAGTTTCTTCCCCAAAGAAAAAGGCAAAGAAACAGCAACACCTACCTACCCTTCCAAACAGCTACTCCACCCCACAACCTACTTCGTCTCTCTAGTCACCCCTTGAAGGTCCCCTTTACCCCAGGTTCCCTTCCTTCACCATCAAGGAAAACCACTCAATGAATCCAAGTCACCTAAAGTAAACATCTCCACCCTCAACATCATTTCCTCCAAAGACTTCATAAAAGACAAAATGCTAAAAGTTTGAAAGTCTTTCAGGAACACGGCTTTTTCTTTTTGGCAATCCCGCCTTACTAACACAGACAGGATAAGCAACTGACAGGTTTGCTTTGATAGCTCTCTTCTATCTGTCTGAAGCTGAGGAACCCACATACAAGAGGAAGGGAAGGAGAATCCCTAACACTAAACAACAAAAACACTAAGCAGTTTCTTAGCCAACTAGTGCCTGATCAGGATCTTTATCAACAGATGTCCCCATCCCTCTTACGGGTGTCTCATTAAACCTCAGCATTCCTGTCTTGTTCTACACACATGCACACATGCATGCACACACACACACGTTCACAGGCTGCACCAACTGCCTCTCCTTCCACTAAGTCAGGGAAATTTTCATCTACTATAGAGAATAAAGAGAACACTATTTAGCTGAAGAAGTATAAGTAAGATAATCAGACCGCAGCAAAATGATCAGTTCTGATACATTTCCACTGTGTCCTGTCATCCATCCCAAGAGGCATAGAGATCTCTTGGAAGAGTCCCTCATACAGAAGATTGTCAAACACACTGTTTATAGAGTTTCCTGAGATGCAAACGTGGAGGCTCACACACAGAAGCAAAAATGTCAAACGGTACACATGAGTAGTCCCAGCCCTGGTGTCGCCAAGGGCAGTCCAGTGCTGCAGTCACAAACCACCAGAAGCCTATCAGTAATACCTGACATCCCCAAATTCCTGAAATTTATGATTCTCTTTGGGAATCACTGTTGCCTTTTACTCAGGCTCTCCATTTGAGCCTAATATCCTTGTAATTACAGGAGAAATAAGAATAATATCACTTACCAAAGAGAATATGGTTAAGTGCAACAAATCCAGCAAAAAAAGAGTAAATAAAGGCAGGTCACTACCACATAAACATATCTGTTTTTTTTTTTTCTGCTGAGAAACAATATTTAATAACCCAGTTGTGGGACTTCCCTGGTGGTTCGATGGCTAAGATTCCACATTCCCAATGCAACAGACCTGGGTTAGATCCCTGGTCGGGGAACTACATCCCACATGTGGCAATTAAGACCCAGCACAGACAAATAAATAAATATTTAAAAAAAAACAGTTCAGCAAAAAGCCTCATTAAGGTATAATGCCAGTTCAGGGCCCCATACCTTCCACTCATCTGTCAATTCTTTTTTTTTTTTTCTTGATAATGATTTTTCTTTCTTTGGAATAGAAATTTTCAAAAAGATAATAAAGGTTTTCAGTCATGACCTGTTACTTTGATCTGATGTAATCTGGGAGGAAAGTCATTTGTTATTCTTAAGCACTATTTTCGGACTTCCTCCAATGGCTCAATGGTAAGGAATTCACCTCAGTGCAGGAGTCACAGGAGATGCAGGTTTGATCCCTAAGTTGGGAAGATCCTCTAGAGAAGGAAATGGCAACCCTCTCCAGTATTCTTGCCTGGAGAATCCCATGGACAGAGGAGCCTGGCGGGCTAAAGTCCTTAGGGTCACAAAGAATCAGACACAACTGAGTGACTGAGTACAAATGCACATGTTTTCCTCTAGCAAGGGGCAGTCATGGTGATTCAGAAAAGTGATGAAAAGTATAACATACAAGGAATGTCCATTCTGGCATAGGTTGCAACTATGGAAAACAGGAAATTGATATTATACTCCATATGAAAAATAATAGCAAGCAAATAACAATTTTCCAGTAATTTCTCTCAAAAAAAATAGAAAGCAAAATAGTGAATAGCAAAAAATTGTGAAAACAAAACCCCAAAGTACATATAGAGAATAAGAATACACATATTAAATATGATTCTTGCAAGTTTCCAGAACACATAGGGCAGAAGTGACTATGGCCCTGAAAGGTACACTGAGTAAATCCATCCCCTCCACACACAAAGAAAGGTCAGAGATGAAGAGTCATTTAACAGGACAGCTATCAGCAGCATTTGTAATCTGTGAATATTTCCATTTCTGGCATTTGGTAAAACTGGCTGAGGCAAACCGGAAAAAGATTTTCCGGCTACCAGAAGATTAGCTCCTACATATGCTCAATGCTCTGTTCCAAGTATTAACTCCAAATCAAATAGTGGTGTGAATCCCAAGGAAAGGTCCAATTTCAGAAGACTCTGTTTATCTTGGAGAGTCTCTCAGAGAGGCAAGGAATGGCTGTGGCTGGGGACACAGACACTGTTAGCAGCATTCCCAGGACCTAACCCTACCACGTGTACACTGGTGTGAGCACACACCACCAAGGGATTCTCTCATCTGCACATTCCCGATTCTCACCTTCAACTAATAAGAGATAAAACAACTGAGAAAATATTCATTATCAACCATGCTGCTGCTGCTAAGTCACTTCAGTCATGTCTGACTCTGTGCAACCCCACAGACAGCAGCCCACCAGGCTGCCCAATCCCTGGGATTCTCCAGGCAAGAACACTGGAGTGGGTTGCCATTTCCTTCTCCAATGCATAAAAGTGAAAAGTGAAGGTGAACTCACTCAGTCATGTCTGACTCTTAGCGACCCCATGGACTGCAACCTACCAGGCTCCTCCATCCATGGGATTTTCCAGGCAAGAGTACTGGAGTCGGGTGCCATTGCCTTCTCCTATCAACCATGAAACTAACCAAATTAAAACATTCTTGATAAGCAGGAACAAGGCCAAACACTGCCCCCTAAACCCTTCCTCTTTGACATCAATCTATGACCATATGTATATTCTTTCCACAAATCAATTGAGCATATAGTTTTATTCTTTCACAAGAATTCTTCACAAACCTGAAATCATAAAGGATCTTTAAAAGAGCTGAATTTAATACCACCACATCCATTATTCAAGATTATCTGAGAGTCTGAGTCTCTGAGGCAGACTTTTTATTTTGGGCATACAATGTGGCATGCAGAATCTTAGTTCCCTGATCAGGGATCCAAAACCTTGGTATCCACTATGGAGAACAGTGTGGAGATTCCTTAAAAAACTGGAAATAGAATTGCCATATGACCCAGAAATACCACTGTTGCATATACACACTGAGGAAGCCAGAATTGAAAGAGACACATGTACCCCAATGTTCATTACAGCACTGTTTACAATAGCTAGACATGAAGCAACCTAGATGTCCATTGGCAGATGAATGGATAAGGAAGTTGTGGTATATATACACAATGGAATATTACTCAGTTATAAAAAAGAATGTGTTTGTGTCAGTTCTAATGAGGTGGATGAAACTGGAACCTATTATACAGAGTGAAGAAAGTCAGAAAAAGAAATACCAGTACAGTACATTAACGCATATATATGGAATTTAGAAAGACAGTAATAGCAACCCTGTATGCAAGACATCAAAAGATATACAGATGTAAAGAAGAGACTTCTGGACTAGTGGGAGAAGGTGAGGGTGGGACGATATGAGAGAATAGCATTGAAACATATATATTACCATATGTAAAACAGATGACCAGTGCAAATTTGATGCATGAGGCAGAGCACTCAAAGCTGGTGCTCTGGGACAAGCCAGAGTGATGGGGTAGGGAGGAAGGCAGGAGGGCTAGGAGGGGGGTTCTGGGTGGGGGAACACATGTACACCCAAGGCTGATTCATGTCGATGTTTGACAAAACCACCACAATATTGTAAAGCAATATGTCTCCAATTAAAATAAATAAGTTAGTTAAACAAAAACAAAAACAAAAAAAACCCTGGCATCTGCACCGGGGACATGGAGTCTTAACCAGTAAA